ACATAATTAACCCGTATTTTTTTTTCAAATAGTCTTTATTTCTTTTCCAGAGTTTTTTACATTATATTCATTATCCAAACATTTTTGCATTTACCCCGCGTTTACCCCGCGTTTACCCCACACAAATTTAAAGTATCGCAAAGCAGCCCAACTACGCAGAGACAGCGGGCACCTCTTAAATATATTTGCACACATTACTTATCTGACAAATTTTACCACAGAATTCAATTGAACTTCCTTAAAATTAAAAATAATTTAATACTTGACTTTATGAGAACAAGACCCACCAACTTTTGCGATCAAAACATATTAATGGAAACCCTAACTCTGCCACACGCCACAACGCAAATCCACCCCCATCTGGCACAGCTTGGCGCGGGCGGTGGCGCGGGCGGTTAAGCGGCAGGCACAAAAAAATGATGAGATTGGAGAGGAACATCTTTTAGCTTTAATTCTAAAGGAAGGTGAATTAGATCAACAAGAATGCAAAAAAAGACTGAAAGAGTACTGCAAAAACTTAAGAAGTATAAATCCTAAATTAGATAAAGTGGATCAAAAATTACAAAAAGTGTGTAAAGAAGATAGAACAGCTGAAGAAAAGTGCACAGGATTAAAAGACAAAGTCAGTCAAAAATGCATTGAATTTCAAAGAAAACTTCAAACAGCTGCTGGAAAAAAAATTTCAGAATTAACAGATGACATTTGCAAAGAAAATGAACGAAAATGCCTATTTTTGGAGGGAGCATGTCCAACAAAACTTAAAGATAACTGCAATAAATTAAGGAATAACTGTTATCAAAAGAAGCGTGATAAAGTGGCAGAAGATGCTCTTTTAAGAGCAGTTCGCGGAAGTTTAACTAAGGAAGCTACATGTCAAGAAAGGCTTAAAGAGGTTTGCATAGAGTTGAGTCAAGAAAGTGATGAGTTAACGAAGCTTTGTCTTTACCAAGAAACAACATGCAGCAAATTTGTATCAGAAAAAAAAGGAAAATGTACTACTCTTGAAAATGATATTAAAACAGTACTTGGAAAGGAAAATAAATTACGAGGAAAATGTTTAGCACTGCTTGAACAATGTTATTTTTATAGAGGAAATTGTGAAGGAGACAAATTAAAGTGCAGCGAACCTGCTAATCAGGACTGCAAAGAATATATACCAGATTGCGATAAACTAGAAGAAGAATGTGAAAAACAAAATATCATTTACACACATCCGGGACCTGATTTTGATCCAACTAAGCCAGAGCCTACAGTAGCAAAGGACATAGGGCTGGAAGAGCTTTATAAAGAGGCTGAGAAGGATGGAATTTTTATTGGAAAGAATCATCTAAGAGATGCAACAGCTTTGTTGGCGTTGTTGATTGAAAATAGTAATGATGCTGAAAAAAAATGCAATGAGGTCCTCAAAGATAAGTGCAAAAACTCTCATGAACATGAGGCCTTGGAAAAACTATGTAATAAAACTAATCCAAGTGATTATAAAAAAAAAAAATGCGAAGAATTAGAGAAAGATATCAGAAAAACATGTGATATTCTCACGTCAAAGCTTATAAATAATCGTCTTTTTGATGCAGTAAATTCTAAAGTTGAATGGGGCAAGTTGCCAACATTTCTTAGTGATGAAGAGTGTGCAAAACTAGAATCTTATTGCTTTTATTTTAAAGAAAGATGTCCAGATGTCAAAGAAGCTTGTATGAATGTGAGGGCAGCGTGTTATAAGAGAGGGCTTGATGCACGGGCAAATAAAGTGCTGCAAGAAAATATGCGAGGAATGTTACATGGTTCAAACAAAAGCTGGCTTGAAAAATTTCAACAAGAATTAGTAAAAGTATGCAAGGAACTAAAAGAAAATAAAGAAAATTTCCCAAACGACGAACTATTTGTTCTGTGTGTACAGCCAGCAAAAGCGGCCCGGTTGCTTACACATGACCATCAAATGAAAGTTATCTTTTTACGACAACAATTGGATCAAAAAAGAGATTTTCCGACAGACAAAGACTGCAAGGAATTGGGGAGAAAGTGCCAAGATTTAGGAAAGGATTCAAAAGAAATTACGTGGCCATGTCATACACTGGAGCAGCAATGCAATCGCTTAGGGACTACAGAAATTTTGAAGCAGGTTTTACTGAATGAACACAAGGATACTTTGAAAACTCATGAAAACTGTGTAACATATTTAAAGGAAAAGTGTAATAAATGGTCTAGAAGAGGCGATGACCGTTTCTCTTTTGTATGTGTCTTCCAAAACGCTACGTGTGAGCTGATGGTAAAAGACGTGCAAGATAGGTGTAAAGTATTCAAAGAAAATATAAAAGCTTCAGAGATTGTTGATTTTCTTAAAAATAACACGAATAACATAACAACACTGGAAAGAAACTGTCCCTCCTGGCATACGTACTGCAATAGATTTTCACCTAATTGTCCAGATCTTACGAAAGAGGATAGTTGTACAAAAGTCAAGAAACATTGTGAGCCGTTCTATAAAAGAAAGGCCTTGGAAGATGCTCTCAAAGTAGAGCTTCGAGGAAAGCTGAGTGATGAAAACAAATGTACTACAGAATTAAAGGGATATTGTACAATAGCGAAAAACGTAAATAATGCATCAATCAGTGGTTTATGCAAAGATAGCACTCAAGGTAACAATAAAAAGCCTGAGGACAAAGTGGTAGAAGAGCTTTGTAAGAAATTGATGGAAGAAGTAAAAGAGCAATGTGAGACATTACCAGCAGAATTAAAACAACCGGTAGAAGATTTAGAAAAAGATTCTAAGACATATGAGAAACTTAAGAAAGAGGCAAAGGACGCAATGAATAGATCCAGCCTTGTTTTATCACTCGTTAAGAAAGACGGGAATAATACATCGAAAAGTAATAGCAAGAACAAGGATAAGAATGCCGTTTTAAACGGACTTCAAGATACCACAAAACATGTGAAAATACTGCGGAGAGGAGTTAAGGATGTACTTGTAACAGAATTGGAAGCCAAGGCATTTGATTTGGTAGCAGAAGTATTTGGAAGATATGTAGATTTAAAGGAAAGATGTGAGAAATTGACTTCAGATTGCGGGATTAAGGAAGATTGCAAAGAGTTAAAAGATGTCTGTGAAAAGATACAAGGAGTATGTTCGAAACTAAAACCACTGAAAGTGAAGCCGCACGAAATAGTCACAGAAAGCACAACAACGACCACGACGACCACAACAACCGTTACCGATCCGAAGGCAACAGAATGCAAATCCTTACAGACAACAGACACATGGGTTACACAGACATCGACACACACAAGCACATCTACCATCACATCTACGATTACATCAAAAATAACACTCACATCAACGAGGCGTTGCAAACCAACCAAGTGTACGACAGGGGATGATGCAGAGGACGTGAAGCCGAGTGAGGGATTGAAGATGAGTGGGTGGAATGTTATGAGGGGGGTGATAGTAGCAATGGTTATTTCGTTCATGATTTAGAAAGCAAATGAGCAAGATTTAATGATGAGCATGTATATTTAGTAAATAAACGAGCAGGGTAGGACAGGAAAGAGTAAAGTAGATTGAGTCATCTCTTCAGCATCAATTGAAAGTGCATTACACATGAAATCGCGTGTTCCTTATTTAATTGACCACTATTCTTTGTCTAAATAGCCTTTACTTCTCATTTATGTCCTTTTATATTCTACTTTTTATTTATTCAAATTTTACTATTACCCCACATTTACCCCGCATTTACCCCACACAAATTTAAATACGTGTAGTAAAGCATGTATCACAATAATTGTATGGACACACTAAAGATATACTTTGCACACACAGCTTCTTTGACAAGTTTTGTCACTGAATTTACTTGAACATCCTTAAAATTAATTAAGGATAATTTAATATTCAAATTTAATATGGAAACGAATCTCTTCAATTTTTGCAGTCAAAACACATTAACTCAAATTCAAACTCAAACCATACACCACAGCGCAGCCCACCCCCGTCAGGCACAGCTTGGCGCGGGCGGTGGCGCGGGCGGTTAAGCGGCAGGTACAAACACAGGGAGCAGGAGCAAATGATGAGGAAATTTATCTTTTGGCTTTAATTGCAAAAGAAGATGCTAAAGATGAGGGAAAATGCGAAGAAAAATTGAAAAAATATTGCAAAGAATTAAGTGAAACAAATCTAACACCAGAAAAAGTACACGAAAAATTAAAAGATTTCTGTGATAATGGAAAACGAAATAAAAAATGTAAAGAACTCAAAACAGCAGTCACTCAAAAGTGCAGTGAATTTAAAACAAAATTGGAAGGATTGGTGAAAAAAGATGCCTCAGGCTTGACAAATGATGATTGTAAAGAGAATGAACGACAATGCCTATTTTTGGAGAGAGCATGTCCTAGTGATCTTACAGAGAATTGCAACAAACTAAGGAATCTATGTTACCAGAGGAAACGTGACGGAGTAGCAGAAGAAGTCCTTTTGAGGGCGCTTCGCGGAGATTTGAATGACAAACCTGGATGTGAAAAGAAAATCAAAAATGTTTGCTTAAAAATAAGCCAAGAAAGTGATGAGTTGACAATGTTGTGTCTTGAACAGGAAAAAACATGCGCAAATCTTGTAACAAAAGGAAAAAGTAAATGTGATACTCTTAAAAAAGTTGAAGCACTTAAGAAAGATGAATTACGAGAAAAATGCCTACCATTACTTGAGAAATGCTATTTTTACAAAGAGAATTGCAAAGCAGACAAATCAAAGTGTGATGAATTGGAAAAGAAATGTCAAGAACAAAGTATTGTTTATATACCACCAGGACCCGATTTTGATCCAACTAAACCAGAGGCTACGCTAGCAGAAGATATAGGGCTGAAAGAGTTTTATAAGGGGGCAGAAGAGGATGGAGTTTTTATTGGAAAACAACAAGTAAGAGATGCGACAGCTTTGTTGGCGTTGTTAATTCAGGACCCAAGTGCAGCAGGTAATGATAATAAAGAAAAATGCAAAAAAGCTCTTGAAAAAAAATGCAAAACCCCTCAAGAACATGAGACCTTGAAAAGTTTATGTAAGGAAAGTGGTCTAAGTGATGATGGAACGAAAAAATGTGATGAACTAGAAAAAGATATCAAAAGAACATGTGATATTCTCACGCCAAAGCTTACAAATAATCGTCTTTTTGACCCAAAAAAAGGAAATAATGGAATTATTGGATGGGGAGGGTTGCCAACATTTCTTAGCAACGAAGAGTGTGCAAGATTAGAATCTTATTGTTTTTATTTTAAAGGAAGCTGTCCAGATGTCAAAGAAGCTTGTATGAATGTGAGGGCAGCGTGCTATAAGAGAGGGCTTGATGCACGGGCACATAAAGTGCTTCAAGAAAATATGCGTGGATTATTGCGTGGTTCAAATAAAACCTGGCTTAAGAAATTTCAACAAGAATTAGTAAAAGTATGTGAGAAATTGAAAAAAGAAAATAAAGGAAGTTTCTCAAACGATGAATTATTTGTTCTGTGTGTACAACCAGCAAAGGCAGCACGGTTACTTACACATGACCATCAAATGAGGACTGTTTTCTTACGTAAACAATTGGATCAAAAGCGAGATTTTCCAACAGATAAAGATTGCAAGGAATTAGGAAGAAAATGTGAAGCTTTGGGAGATGATTCAAATCAAATTCAGTGGCCATGTCATACACTAAAGCAGCAATGTGATCGCTTGGGGACTACAGAAATTTTGAAGCAGGTTTTACTAAATGAACACAAGGGTACTTTGAAGGAACAGAAAAAATGTGAAAAATATTTGAAAGAAAAGTGTAATAAATGGCTTAGAAGGGGAAACAATCATTTTTCTCTTGTGTGTGTTTTTCTGGAAAGTACGTGTAAGCTGATGGTAGATGATGTACAAGATAGATGCAAAGTATTTGAAGAAAATATAAAGAATTCAAAAATTATTGAATTTCTTGGAAATAATAAAAATAAAATAACAATACTGGAAAGAAATTGTTCTTCCTGGTATCCGTATTGCAATAGATTTTCACCTAATTGTCCAGATCTTACGAAAGGAGATACTTGTACAAAAATCAAGGAGCATTGTGAACCATTTTATGAAAGAAAAGCCTTGGAAGATGCTCTCAAGGTAGAGCTTCAAGGGAATTTAAGTGATAAATCCAAATGTAAACCTGCATTAAAAAGATATTGTGCAGTATTAAAAAATGTAACTAACACGTCAATTAGGGTTAGGGTTAGGGTTAGGGTTAGGGTTAGGGTTAGGGTTAGGGTTAGGGTTAGGGTTAGGGTTAGGGTTAGGGTTAGGGTTAG